CTTTGTCCCTTTCTTCCACTCCACAGGGGCCTCTTTGCTCAGCTCACACCGCAGCGTGGCCACAGCCCCTTCCGTGGCCTCTTCATTCTTCAGGCCTTCTGTGAACTTGGTGGGCAGGGCTGGGAGAGGTCAGAAAAGCACGGACATGATCACACCCCGAGCAAGCAGAAGACACACGTGGACATCACAGAACACACAAAACCCTCTGCACACGGCCACATGCCAGGTGTGCTGAGCTGAGTGTGGGGCCTCCCCTGATGCAGCCTCTCAATATTGTGGCCATGGCTCCTTCCCTGGCCTCCTTGGCCCCACCACTCACATCAATCTGCCCCACAGAGCCAGAGAGGGTCAGAGACACATTGAGAACCTCAGGTTCTCCTGTCTCTTCTGAATCTGGCAGGAAGAGCTGGAAAAGACCAACCAGGGACTCGGACATGAGACAGCCTGGACACCTTTGCACAGGACATGTAACAAGAAAGAGCCAATATTCCGCCAAAAACCATGACATGAGCACGTCAATATGTACATCCAGCAAGAGAAGCAAGCAGCTGGGGAGAAACAGACAACAGAGTGGGAAGGACGGGAACGAGAACACATTCAGAAAACTGTAGGAGGTAAGGAGTGCCTAGGGGACTCCAGCTGTGCTATATGCAGAGGCAGAAGGACAACATGGGGACACAAAGTCACAGGTCCACAATCTTTACCCCTGACAGTCAGTGTGGCTGAGGTCCTCTCCTGTCCGCACACACATGAATACTCCCCAGCATCTGCTGTAGTTAGGCCCTGGATCTTCAGCTCACACTCAGCCCCGTCCTGTCTCAGGCTGTATCTGTCCCCATCTCTGATGGTCTTTGTTCCCTTTCTCCACACCACGGAAGCCTCCTTGCTGAGTTTACACCGCAGAGTGGCCGTGTCCCCTTCCGTGCCCTCTTTATTCCTCAGACCTTCTGTGAACCTGATGGGCAGTGCTGTGGAGGGCCAGAAAGCGACAGATAGTCACACCATCTGAGCACATGGAGCAGACAAGATCCAAGCAGGACAGTGCAGGCACCAAGCACAGCAGGGCAGGGGCCACAAGCTGGGACTATGGGACACAGGCAATGGCACGTGTCTCCCTTCACCCAGGCTGTGTGCCTCATGGCCATGGTCCACCCTACGGCTCCTGAAGCCTCTTACTCTGCATGAATCTGGCTGGCAGGGTTTAGGAGGACACAAAAACATCAGGATCTCTGCAGATCCGGGGGAGAGGATATGACAACAGCAATCACTACAGAGTGGAGATCGAGGAATAAATATGGACATGTGGCAGGGAAACAGCACAGTGGGAAGCAGCAGACAACTGGCGGCCAAGCCTCCCACGTGCAGGTCACTGCCAACACCGGAGGAATTCACACAAGGGCAGGGACACGGAACACCCACAGGCCCATGGCCCAGGTGGACATAAGCATGGGCCACACTGATCTTCCCCTCCGCAGTGTCACGCATGGCCTAGCCCCTTCCATAGTTCCCTGTGGCATGGCTAGGGGACAGAGCCCAGTAGGCACCTGGAACTCTCCCACAAGCTCACACAAGATCTCACCTCCCAGCTAGCCAGGCTGGAAGGGAAAAAGCCACCCCTATCCTCCCGGGACTGTCATCCTGGAGCAGGTGGGCCCAGGCCCCAGCCTGCTTGTGTTAGATGCAGGCAGACTCCTTGATGTACAAGCAGATGATGAAGTCCAATGAAAAAACAGCAAAACCCCACTTTGGACTCCATGTGGGAGACAGTCAAGGAGGAGTGGAGGACACAGCCTGGCTCCAGACTCCGAGGCTGGGGTTGCCCCTGGCCAGGGCGTGGTCCTCCAGCATGACCAACTCCAGCCATGTCGTGGCCTCCAAGAAGCAGTGGCTCTGGGCATTTTGGGACTCTGTGGTCCAGGAGTGACTTCTAGAAATAAAGGCTTTCCTAGAAAGGTCAGAGCAGGGTGCTCACCATCCTCAGAGCTTCCTGAGCAGGCGTGTGCCCCGCTCCGTAAGCCACGGAGACCCTCTGTGCCTCCTGCTGCTCGGCAGTATCTCCAGGCACTGAGGGAGGAGTAGCTTCCCCCTGGCTTGTTTTCCCAATGTTCTGCAACCACAGGACGGACCTCAGAGGCTACATCTGCCTGTCGCCTCCTAACGGGCCCCAGGACATGAAATGTCATGCCCCAGAAAGCGCACGTGCACTTCCTATGCACAACTTGACGTGGCATGGTTATGGGGTCTCTTTGCAAAGGTGCCCAATGCCCTTGCATACAGCAGGTGCTGCCACAGGCTCAGGCAGACAGATGCCAGTCCCAGTCCAGACCCCCCTCATCCACTGCCCCAAGGAGCCCTTCCTGAGGCAGAGTGGAAGCCATGAGAGCCTCATGCCCGCTGGGCTTTCAGCCCTCCTCACCCTTGGCCTGCATCTGCCTTCACTTTCTCTGCTTCCCTGTAAGATGTGACACAGGCACTGATCCCCAAGTGGTCAGACACACCAGGACAGGGATCCCAGCTCCTCAATACGTAAGACAAGACCTAGGGAGCTCTGCTCCCTCCATGGGGTACCCCAGTCGCCTGCAGCTGGAAACCCTTCCCCTCCATGGCTGGGATGTTGTGGGCTCAGGCACCACGTGGACAGACCCAGTGCTAGCCAAAGGCAGTGACGGCTCCCACATGCACGCCCCAGGGCTCCACAACCCTGCCTCAGTTTGCACCGGTCCATCCCTGAGGCTGACACACTGAGGCCCCTTCTTCCACCCAGGGGTCACACTTCCCAGCTCACAGCAATGTGGCCATGGCCTTCTGAGGCCAGTGCAGGGCCCAAACCTCCTGTGACCTGGGCAATCAATGGGGTACAGACACTGGCAAATGCAGGATGTCGGGCAGGGCTGCCAGAGGAGGGCAGCAAAGGTCCTTCCCAGGACATCCAAGACAACAAGATGGCCCCTGGGTCAGCCTCTGCTCAGGGACCACCCCCTCACTACGCAGGACGGGCCCTCTCCTCCCTCCCCAGAGGATGGGCCCGCACTGCAGTCGCTCTGAATCCTGCTTACGGGCCATGCCTCTGTCTTCTGCCTGCCCATTTCCATTCCTTCTGTGTCCCAGAACTCATCGCTGCATCTTTTATAACTAGTTCTCCCCACTAGTCCATCCAAGACCTGACTCCCGAGGAGCTGGGAAACGACCCCACCCCCTGCTGGGCTCCAGACAGGGCCTGCAGGCAGCAAAAGAGACCCTTGCATACAGCAGGTGCTGCCACAGGCTCAGGCAGACAGATGCAGCCTTTTTTCCTCGCTGAAGGAAAAAAGCAGAGCTGCAGAAACCACAGCACAGAGAGACAGACACCGGGAAATGCTGAGACACACAGCCACAAGTGGTTGTTACCCTTCACAGTCAGCGTGGCCGAGGTCCTCTCCTGCCCGCACACACAGGAGTACTCCCCAGCGTCCATCACGGCCAGGCCCTGGATCTGCAGCTCACACATGGCACCATCCTGCCTCAGCCTGTGTCTGTCTCCATCCCTGAGTGTCTCTGTTCCCTTCCTCCACTCCACGGTGGCCTCCTTGCTCAGCTCACATTGCAGCGTGGCCGTGGCCCCTTCCATGGCCTCCTTGTTTCTCAGTTTTCTTATGAAGTGGGCCGGCAGGGCTGAAGGGGCAGACAGACACCAGCAGGGTCAGGTCCATCTCGGGGTGTGGGCAGCACACGCCAGGAGGAAGACAAGACAGACTCCACAGAAAATGGAAAGAAGCTCACACAGGGCTAGGGGTTACTGCAGACACAGGTCTCCCGTTCACATAACATCCCAGCCAGCAGGATGCGGGGCAAGTGGCACCAGCACGGGGGAGACAGCCCAAGTGCAGACAGACATCATGGGCCAGTACATGGCCCCCTGAGCACGGTATTACGTGGGCACACGCAGTTGTTACCCTTCACGGTCAGCGTGGCTGAGGTCCTCTCCTGCCCGCACACACACGAGTACTCCCCAGCGTCCACCACGGCCAGGCCCCGGATCTGCAGCTCACACACGGCCCCGTGCTGCCTCAGCCTGTGTCTGTCCCCATCCCTGAGTGTCTCTGTTCCCTTCCTCCACTCCACGGTGGCCTGCTTGCTCAGCTCACACTGCAGCGTGGCCGTGGCCCCTTCTGTGGCCTCCTTGTTTGTCAGCTTTCCTATGAAGTGGGCCGGCAGGGCTGGAACAAGGTCAGAAGGGACAGAGATGCCATCTTTGTTTTGCTGTGCTGACCAAGAGGCCCCATGGTAGCCCATGGGCAGGGCAGACAGGGTCTCTTACCCTTCACAGTGAGCATGGCCGAGGTCTTCTGGTCTCCAAAGGAGCAGGAGTAGCAGCCACTGTCCAGGGGCTGCAGGTCCCGGATGACCAATTCCAATACAGTGCCCTCCTGGTGCAGACCGTACTTGCTGCCGGACCGCAGGACATCATCCCCGCGTCGCCACTCCACAGGTGCGGCCACAGATGACAGAACACAGCGAAGTGTGGTCGCGCCGCCCTCTGGCACCTCTACATCCTTCAGGGCCTCCCGGAACCGCACTGGCCGAGCTGCAGACAGACACGGCTCAGCCCAGCTTTAGGCAGGACCCTGCTTGAGCTGAGCTGGGATGGACAGCGCTCTAAGAGGGGCCCGGGATGCTGAGCCCCAGGGAGACGGGCACAGCTCTGACAGCACGTGACAAAGGTCAGAGTGGCACAGGAGAGCAAAGGGGCAACATCACAGACTCCTGGACATGCAGACACCCAAGACTTCACCCAGGGACTCAGAGTGGGACTATGCTTGACACTGTGGTCCTGAAGCAGTGACTACTGTAAGATAAGGTTACTAGAGGCGGTCCTAATTCCTAGACCGGTGTCCTTAGAAGAGATCAGGACAGAGGCACACAGAAGACAACCAAGTGGGCAACAGAGAGAGAGCTTGCAGGAGAAGTCGGCCCCGGCCAGCTCGGCCCAGACCCCAGCCTCAAGCCCTGAGAGACAGGAAGACCATGGGTAAGCTGCCCATCTGTGAGGACTGCAGAAAGGGGAGCCGGGGCAGAAAGAGAAGACACCAGGGGTCACTGAGCAAGGCCGAGACGTGGATGGGGTGAAGGACACTGGCCACACAGAGACCCACACAGCACAAGAGAGCTGCTACGGGGGCAAGGGAGACCCCCAAGAAGGAGGAGGCTGAGTGGGTGGTTGAGCGCCAACACTCCCCAAACCGAGGGCGGCAGTGGTGCTGGATGGCATCCGGGGCCCTCATGCTCTTCGGGTATCCGCCCAACCCATACCCACACCAATGTGACAAGGCAGGCTGCAGCCCCCCGGGGCTCACCATGGACCCTGACAATAGCGCTGCTTGAGGCCCCACCGGCCTCACACTTGTACCGCCCACCATCCTGCAGGCTGGCATCAGTAATGACCAGCCCGGCTCGGCCGCCCTCGAAGCTCAGCTGGCACCGGGTGGAAGGCCGCAGTGTCTTCCCATCCTTGGTCCAGAGCACCGGGCTGTCTGGAGCGGTGGTCTCACAGCGTAGAGTCAGGTCCTCCCCTTCCATGACCGTGGCATCTGATAGTGCCTGGGAGAAGATGCTTGGCTTCTCTGAGGACAGAGGGAGACAGAGTACCCAGAGAGTTGGGCCAACTGTGGCATAGGAGGGCAGCCAGGCTGGGCGGCTCCATGCCTCCCACCCCACAGGGATGTAGCGAGCACACACCATGTAAGCCATGCGTCTCGGGACCACCCAAGAGGGTGCTTCTGGAAGCAGCTCGGGCCAGTGCTCCACACCCAACAGCCGGGCACCAGCTTGCACTCCCAGACCAGCTAGCCTCACTACCCCACAAGCCCAGTCGCCTCTTGGCTATGCCCAAGCTGCGGCTCCTCTCCACGAGGCTGCACCCGAGCCACATGGATTTGGTGGCTCCCCAACCACGGCAGCCCCCCCGTGGGACACCAAACCCACCTGTGACCCGCAGGGCAGCGGAGGAACGCTGGTCACCAGCCTCGAAGTAGATGGTGCCCGCATCCTTAAGCGCCAGCTGCCGCAGGGTGAGCACATGGTAGCCCCCAGGCTGGGCCTCAATCTCATTGAGTCCATCAGCACGCAGGGGCGTCTGGTCCAGAAACCAGTGCACCGGGCCATAGTTGGCCGGGGACAGGCGGCAGCAGAAAGTGGCTGAGGAGCCTTCCTGCACTTCCGCATCCTCCAGGTCCTCCGTGATGCGCACGCTCTGCCCTGTGAGGGTACAGTCAGCCGCTCAGGCCCTACCAGCTGTGGGAGATCCAGCTCTCCCCAGATCCAGCAGGAGGCTCAGAGCCGCTGGCAGTGGCTGCTCGACAAGCCCACATTGACAAAATGCAACACTATGTAGATCACAGCCAAAAGGCCCAATATCTTTGTTTTAGCTCAACCTGGTCCCAAACCCCTCCTTCCCCCAGGACCTCTGTGACACTGGCCCGGTGGCCCAGGATGTGAAGCCAGCACTCTTTGGCCTCCACAAGCCTGTGTGTCCAGCTGTGCCTGCATCACCACCACCACCCATGCAGTCAAATCTGTGTCAAATGGAACAGCATGCAAAAGACAACTGTTATCCTACTGTGCTGCAGGGTACTGAGTTAAAACACCCCGAGGTGCTTACAGCCCATTCTCTACCCCAACTCAAAAGACAGCTGCCTGGCCAGGACATCTCACCACTGAGGGCCCCACTGCCACCCTCCTCTCCAAGTTCCACAAACTCCGGGCTCAAGCAACTCAGCTACGTGTACCCTTTCACCCCACGACCTAGGACACACCCTCGTGTCCCTCAGCAGTCACCGTGGTTCCCAGGTGAGAACTACCAACCCCGGGCACACTGATGGTCAGTCCTCCCTTGGGAACACATCCCGGCTGTTACCATGTCCTGGTGCTTAGAGCACTGGCTGGAACCATAGCAGAACCCGCAGCGAGCAAGCCAATGCTGCATCAAGGGAGGCTGTCGATGAGAGCCCCCAGTCTACCCTGCTATTTCCTCCACCCACAAGGACTGGAGAGACTGAGGCCAGGCTGGCACAGAAACCAGCACACTGGGCCATAGTTGGGGGACAGGCAGCAGCAGGAAGCAGCACACAGTGCCAGTTTCCGGCCACCTCAGCGTCTCCAGGGTCTACCTGAATTGCAGCAGCATCTGAGCCTCTGTGGTGTCTGCCACTGTTGTCCCCAGCTCACCTTGCACCTGGAGCTGGGCCTGGGACTGGGCCTGGCCAATGTCACAGGTATAGATGCCGCTGTCAGCTGGCGTCAGGGAGCTGACAGTGAGCCTCAGGGTCAAGCCATCCTGGCTGGCTGCATACTTCCCTGAGGCCCGCAGCTCCATGGCATCCTTGCGCCATGTCACAGTGGCAGCCGGCTGTTCTGTCTTGCAGGTGAACACAGCTGTGCCCTGCTCCTGGGCCTGCAGGTTGGTCAGCTCCTCTGTGAACTGGTTTGCCTTTTCTGGAGAGGAAAACCCAGCAGGAGGGCAGAGATTGCATCCAGCTCACACTCCCCTGGCCCAGCCTGCTGGCCACAGAGGTGATTTTAGAGTTCTAAAATACTGAGCTACGCTGGGGGACAGGAGTGATGCGCAGGTCCCGGGGCACTCACCCTTCACACGGAGCCTGGCAGTGCTCTTGGCAGTATCTGTCTCACACACATACTCGCCAGAGTCCCTGAGTGTGGCACCACGCACCACCAGCACGGCCCGTGCACCTTCGCTGAGCAGGTCATACTTTTGCCCCTTGCGGATGGCCTTTCCATCTTTCAGCCAACGCACAGGGGCACCTGCCCGTGACAGCTCACAGCTCAGCACCACGTCCTCCCCTAGCGTGGCCTGCTGGTCCTCCAGGAGCTTCACGATAGCCACTGGCCTCTCTGGGGAAGCAAACGGCAGGCAGTGAGGCATCACAGTACCAGCCACACACGGCATGCCCACAGAGGCACGGCCACAGTGCAGTCACGCCTAGGACTCCAGGAACACCCAGTCACCGGAGTCCCCATGGTCCCAGGGCAAGGCCAGGGAGGCAGGGCCAGGACCATCACATCCCCCTCTATCCTCCATCAGGCTCCCTGGGGGTGGCCAGGGGTTGGTGCCTGTATACTGGGCTCCACTGACCTAGCCAGAGTGCAAAGCAGAAGCACTGACTCCAAACCTTGACAGCAACCTCCAACCAAGCACGTGGCCAGAGGCATGAGCCCAGTGTAGCTAGAAGTTCTGCCAGCCATGCCCGGGAGCCACTGGCCACATGGGGCAGTCAAGCCACCGATGAGAGCCCAGAACCCTGGCTTTCTCCAGAGCCCTGGAGACTCACCACAAGCAACCCTCAGGGTAACCAAAACCCCTGCCCCTAGTGAGTGCCTCTGGGTCCCCACACCCTCCGGAGGAGTGCTCACCAGGGCAGGAGATGGCCCCCAGGACTCCTCCGCACAAGCCCTGGGCCCACACACCCACCTCTGACTAGCAGCGAGGCCTTGGAGGTGAGGCCCCGCACAGAGAAGACCACCTCTCCAGCGTCATCCAGGGCAGCGTCCCGCACTGTCAGCGTGTACTTGCGGCCCTGGCGAGTGGCCCTAAAGCGGCCAGAGCTGCCCACTGTCTTCCCGCCGACCGTCCATATGGCAGGGTCGCCCGTGTGCTCATGGGACAGCACACACTCAAAGCTGTAGGTCTCCCCTTCTAGCACCTCCGCTGTCTTCAGCCTCTTGGTGATTCCCACGTGCAGGTCTGCAGGCCACAGGACATGCACCATCATCCAGATACCCAAGGATGGTGGGTCTGAGCGCATGCAGACCCACCCCAAGTCCCAAGTTCAGCGGGGCTGACACCCAGGGTGGCCATCCTCACAGGGACAGCTGTGCGCAGATGACTGGCAGTTTGAACTACATCACATGGCCCAAGCCCTAGGACCACCCACACTGCACAAGTGAGCACCAGGGGAGTTCTGCAGCACATGAGGACCTCCCACAGCAACCTCTTTATCATGTTCTCTTCCTGTGTTGCTGCCATGGCATGCCAACCCCACTTGCCCCAAGTCAGGGAGCTCTGTGGATGGAGGTCAGGGTCCCAGTGCACCAGCCCTGCAGCTGGGAACCAGCCCAGTGAGGGGACCCATGAGTCCCAAGAGGCAGGGTTGGGTGCAATGACAACTCTAGACTTGGGCAGGGCCAGCTGCCATCCTGTGCACCCAGCAAGGGGCCCTTCCCAGCCCTCCCCTATGCTGATTCTCAGACGTGTCCCACGGTGCAGACAGAAGGGCCCAGCTCACTGTCCACCATGCAATGTACCCTGGCCCTCACACGACCACAACAGGAAGCCTTCCATCTCCTGCTCCCCTCGGTCTGGAGAGTGGCATGTGCCATGGGGAGGGAAGATGGCCACGCCCACACTACGCACCGTGCACGCTGACCCGGGCCCTCGTCTCCTCGCTGCCCACACGGCAGGCATACAGGCCGGCATCCTCATGGCCGAGGCCGTGCACCACCAGGCCTCGCGTGCCTGCTGTGTGCAGGAAGTCGTACTTGTCGCCAGGCCCCAGCTCCACACCATCCTTGCACCACACCACGTGGGCCCTGGGGTCAGACACCTCGCACTGCAGGGCCAGAGTGCCATGCTCCTCCACTGACACGTCATCCAGTGCCTTCAGGAACACCACCGGCTTCGCTGTAGGAAGGGCGAGTGGGTGGTGAGGGGCTTGCTGAGGTGAGTGGGGCCCCACACACCCCAAGAGGACGGCTCACCTTGGACCACCAGCCGGGCCGCAGCTGACACCTTTGGGGAACTGGCACGAACCACACCAGCGTCTGCCTGCCGGACACTTTTGAGCACGAGTGTGTGGCGCTGGCCCTCATGGGTGATCTCGTGGAAGCTATCATTGTACAGTGGCGTCCCATTGAGTGACCACTCAACCTCCTCATCCTCGTGGGACAGCTCACAGCAGAAGCAGGCCCGGCCCTCCTCGGTGACCTCAGCATCCTGCAGCGGCTGTGTCACTTTCACCTCCCGTGCTGCAAGACACACAGGACATCAGGTCTGCACTCCCAGCCTGGTTCAGACCCCAGAGCCCTGCCCCTACCTACCTTCCACAGTGACCTCAGTGCTGGTCTCTGCACTGCCTGCCTGGCACTTGTAGACACCAGCATCAGCGGGGCTGAGTCGCAGGATGCGCAGCTCGGCCATCTGGCCCTCCAGCACCATCTTGAACTTCTCAGATGGTGCAAGTGGCACGGCATCCTTGTACCACTGCACAGCCTTGGGGGCCGGCCGGAAGTCGCAGGACAGCACCACCGACTGCTGCTCACGGCCCGCCTTGGGCTCCAGCGCTCGCACCAGCACGACGGGGATGTCTGCAGGCAGATGCGAGAGGTGAGGGCTGCAACATCTGGTTCACAGGCCTGGAGACGTGTCCCCAGGCATCCTTGCACCCCTCCCTAGCCCCTGCTCACCTGAGACCACCAGGCGGGCAGAGGAGCGTGCCTTGCCAATGGTGAAGTGCACAGGCCCCGTCATGGTAGAGCATGTGCGCCGCAGCACCAGCCGGTGCACGGTCCCCTCCTGCTCCAGGCCCACGCTCGCCCCTGCCTGCAGCACCGTCTTGCCCAGCAGCCACTTGGGCGGCCGCACGGAGGGGATGGAGGTCTCGCACTCAAACCAGGCAGGTGCAGGCTCCATCACAGTCACATCCTGCAGGCCCCGCACGATGGTGATGGACTGCTCTGTGGGCAGCGGGGCAGCACAGTCACTGCAGGCTCCCATGGGGAGGAAAGTGCCTTCCCGGTGCCCTTGCCCCTACTGTCACCAGGAGCCCCAGGACCAGCTGTGACCCATGGGCCCCCTGGGGAACCTCATACCTTCCACGAAGAACTGGGCACTGGTCTTGACATCACCAGCATCACAGGTGTAGGTGTCCTCATCCTCAGGCTGCACATCACTGATAACCAGCTTGCGGTAGAGGCCATCGCTGACCATCTCGTATCTGAGGCCCGGCTGCAGCTCAGTGCCACCCTTGAACCACCGCACCTGGGCACTGGCCCGGGACACCTGGCACTCGAGTACCCCACGGTGCTTCTCCATGGCAATCTTGTCCCGCAGCGGGCGCAGCAGTGTCACTGGCAGCTCTGTGGCCAGCCAGCGAAAGGGGATCAGGACAGCAAGCCAGGCAGATGGCTTCACCAGGGCTCAGGCATCAAGGGCCCGCGTCCTGCTGGGCCCCACAGCCCACACACTCCTCCTGAGCCAGCGCCCTCCAAGGACTGCGCCTCCACTTGCCAAACCCACACCCTCTCTCCAGCACTGGACACAGCCCAGGAGGACAGGTCAGGACCATCAAAGGGACCCAAGTCCTGCAGCCCCCAGGCTGCTCCTGCCCCTGCACAAGAAGAGACACTGCCTTCCTTCCTCCAAAGGCCCTCCCCACCCTTGGAACAGTCCCAGGCTGGCCACCCATCAGATCCGAAAACCTCCCCCAGCCCCCTCACCTTTCACTCGGAGCTGGGCTCGAGATTCTGCATTTTCAGCTACAAACCTGATCTCCCCTTCGTCCTCTGCCAAGACCCTCCGGAACAGGAGAGTGTATGTCTTTCCTGGAGATCAAGATCACTCAGCACCACCATTAGGGTGGCCTGGGCAGGCCCTCTCCCCTCCCCCCTCCTTCCCACAAGGCCCCTCCTCACACCTTCCTGGCGGATGCGCACATTGTCAGTCGGCCGCAGCTTACTGCCCTTCCAGAACCACTGGCCGGGCACTTCGCAGTGGGACACCTCACAGGAGAAGGTGGCACCCTCCTTCTCCATCACCTCCAAGTCCTCCAGGGGCCGCACAATCTGGACATTTCGGCCTGGGAGGCGAGGGAGGCCCTGTCAGAACAGAAGGCCAGGCACAGCCAGCACCCCTAGCCCAGCACCTGGTCCCATTCCCCAAGTGCCGCCAGGTCCAGCTCACCTTGCACCTTGAGAGAGGCAGAGCTCTGAGCATCACCAGCATCACACACATACATGCCCTGGTCCCCCAACTCGCAGCAGTAGATAACTAGGCTCCTGTGAGTGCCCTGGGCTGTCATGCCCACAGCCTTGCCTGCCCGCAGCTCCACACCATCCTGCATGGGGCAGAACCCTGGTCAGCACCACCCCGCTGGGCAACTCAGCCACCCATAGGCGGGGAAGGGGGAGGCACCTTCAGCCAGCGCACAGTGACGTTGGGACGTGACAGCTCACAGTCCAGTGTCATCTTCTCTTTCTGGGTCACCACCACATCTTGCAGTGGACGGCTGAAGGTGACAGGTAGCTCTGAGGCACAGAGAGAAAGGAAGACAGTGCTGGGTGCCTTTCAGAGCACCAAAGACTTCACCCCTGTTAAGAGGACATCCATGGACACTCACCGGTAACCACCAGCCTTGCTGAGGTGTGCACGCCTTCTGCTCGGAAGGCCACCAGCCCACTGTCCTGGGGCTGCAACCCTGAGAGAGTGAGGCTGTGGACCGCGCCGTTCACAGCCAGGTGGCATGTGGGCCCTGGCTGCAGCCGCACACCATCCCGAGTCCAAATGCCCTCCACATTGGCGTGAGACAGCTCTACCTCCATGGTGGCTGCGCCCTGTTCCTTGGCCTCCACTGCCTGCAGGCCCCGAACCAGGGCAACCTGGCGCACTGTGGAGACAGAGGAGCACCTGAGTCCCTGCTGGAGACCTCGCCCGTCTGGCTGAGGCCAGCAGTGCCCAGGCCCCAAAGTGACCAGGTCAGCTTCTCTAGGAAGCTGCACCTCATCTGTCAGTCTGTCCCCAGTGCAGCCCATGCAAGGTAGGCCCTTCCAAAGGTGCTCATCCCTGCTGCCCACACCTGGGCCCTGCTCGGGCCCCAGGACCTGCCAGGCTGGACCCACAGCTAGGAGTCCTAGGACTCCTCCACTCCTAGGAAGTTTGCCCTTCATCCGCCAACCTACCTGCTCCCCTCCCCCTCTTCCCCTTCTCTCTGGTAGCCCCCCACTCACTCTCCACAGTGAGCTTGGCTTGTGTCTTGTCATCGGGCGTCTCACAGCCATAAAAGCCACGGTCAGCGAAACCCACGCTGCGCAGCACCAGGCGGTGGACCACATCCTCGGCATGGATCTCCACGTCGTCACTGGGCTCCAGGGTGGCAGCGTTGCGTGTCCAATGGACCTGAGGCCAGGGCCGAGACAGCTCCACCTCCAGGATCACGGTGCTTCCTTCCTCCACCGTCCGGGGCACCAGCTTCCGTTGGAACAGCACGGGCGCCTCTGCACCCAGGACGGGGTCATTCAGAAGAAGCTGAAGCCCAGGGACGGTTCCCTCCCAGCCCAGGAACCTGGAGCACCCCAGCGGCAGGTACCTCTGGAGTGGGGAGGCTCTAGGTGCCCCCAGGGTGCGCTCAAATTTGGGATCAGGATCGAAAAATGATCCCAGGGTGCCCACATCACTTCCTCTGCCTTGTGATGTGGTTCCTGACTCTCCCAGAGGCACTCTCCCCATGCCTGCGCACCCATGGCCAACCTCACTCCCTCTGAGTGAGACCTCGAGGAGGCCTACCCCAAGCACCTCGACCTCCCCAGGGGCGCCCGCAGGATCACGTCTTCTCCCCACCCGGAAGGCCCCCAGGCCCAGCTCACCTCGCACCCGCAGTGCGGCACAGCAGGAGGCGCCCTCAGCGCGCGCAGCGATCTCGCCCGCGTCCTCCAGGGCCAGGCCCTTCACAGTCAGGCTGCGGCACGCGCCACTCTGTGACACTACGAACTTCCCGTCGGGCCGCAGCGGGGCACCGTCCCGGAACCACTGGACCTCCGCATCCTTGGGCGATACTGCGCACTCGAAGATGGCCTCGCCACCCTCCTCCGCCACCACCGCGTTCAGCGGGGTCGTAAACTGCACCACGCGGGGCACTGCGGGAGGAGCACGTGCTGGTGGGGCCGTCGAGGAGCCCTGTCCTCCGCCCAGAAGTCCTGCCGACCCCCGCCAGCCCAAGGTGTCTCCTCCCCCTCTGCCTCCTCTCATACCGCTGACATCCAGGTGCGCGCTCGTGCGCCCGTCGCGGCTCTCGCACGTGTACTCCCCCGCATCCTCTTCACGCAGCCCCAACAGGGTCAGAGAGCGCACCTCACCCTCCACCGCCATCCGGATCCGCTTGCCAGGCCGCAGCTGCACATCCCCACGGCGCCACACCACCTCCGCCTGCGCCGGGGTCAGCTCGCAGGCCAGCGTCACCGTGCCGCCCAGTTCCCCAGTGACGGGCACCAGTGGCTTGGAAAACTGGGCAGCCACCTCTGCAGACACAAGGGGAGTCAGACAGGCCCTGCTCGCCGAATCCCCGTCCCACTCACCTCCTACTGCACTGGGGTGTCCAGGCACCTTGTTCCACACCCTGCTCACCTTCCACCTGCACCGGGAAGTCCTGGTGCCTCTCCGCCGCTCGGCAGGTGTACACCGCACTGTCTAGCACTTGTGCACCGCGAACGGTCAGCGTGTGGGTGTTGCCTATGCTGCGACTCTCGTGGCGCTTGCTACGGCGGATCTCCACACCATCCTTCAGCCAGGCCACTGCAGCCACCGAGGGTGTGGCCAGCGTGGCAGTCAGAATGATGTCCTCGTGTTCCTTGACCACCAGCAGCTCCCTGCGACCAGGCCTCTCAGGGATCTGGCTCTCCGGCTCTGAGGGTGGGGGGCAGTTAAGTGGCATGAGGTGGGAACCAGGGTCCCTGACTCCCCCAACCCAGCCCTCACTGTGGCCTCTCCATCCAGCTTCAGAGTCTAGGGCCAGGGAAGGCAGCCAAGAGGAGCCCTTGGGGCCACAGCTCCGTCCCAGCCCACAAGCAGACCCTGAAGGAAGGCAGATAGTCAGGAAGATGGGGTGTCAGGGCTCTATCAGCAAAGGCAAGGTTGGAAGGAGGAGGCTAAGCAGGTTGCTGCAAGGTGCTGTCCTGCAGAGCACTTGAAGCCATAAACTTGAGGGGTGGTCAGACCACATCAGGGACAGGCCAGCCAGGAGACCACTGCGGACTGCTCAGGACGCACACTCCCATCAGGATGCTAGAATGTCCTCTTTCTTACAGGATGGTGTTGGTACTGGTGCTGTGTTATGGTTTGTGTCTGGATGTCCCCCCAAAGCCTCATACAGTCATGGGGCAGGCTTCTAGAGTTTATGATCAATTCATGGTCCAATGTTGGAATTATGGGTGTGAGAACTACACCTGCCCTGGGGCGGATAGTTTGCATACAATGTAAGGGAGGGAAAGAGGCTTGCTCTCTGCTGCTCCTCCTTTTTGCTCATGTTGCTTTTGCTGTTTTCTGCTGCCATGAACAGTTGCCCTTTCCATGTGCTACTCTGCCTTGGAGCTAGCCAAGCATGGACTGAAACTTCCACACACTGTGAGCTAAAAAATCCTTTCCTTCCTTAATTTTGGGTATCAGATATTTTGTCTCAGCCATGAGAGAAAAGTAACCAAGACACGCTGTGAAAGCTGTGGGGCCCTCCTACCACACTCCTGAGAGGGACTGTGTATGCTATATAGGTAGAACCCACAGGAGTTCTCCAGGAGCCTGGAGGAGGTGAGGCAGGACACCATCCCACCACTGCCAAGCTACTTCAGTGCAGCTGGACTGTCAGGGACCCTATGGCCAGAGACAGGGTCCCCAGACCTGCTGGGGAGACGCGGGGGCAGAATCCCACCAACCTGGGGCAAGAGCCCAGTCACACCAGCTAGAAGAGGCTCTGTCCAGAGGCCTGGTTCAGCCTCCTGTTGCCAACAAGGCCCAACCTGCAGCCCAGACCGCTATGGTTCACACAGGGACATGGATGCAAGTGTGACTGACTGCCACGTGGCATCTAAACACACCTCTGTCCACACATGTGGCCAGCCACAGGAGTAGGGAGGACACCACCAAGGTCTGTCAGAATCACCAGCCAGGTTCACATCGCCTCCAACAGCTAAGGTGGAGCCAACGGGGACTGACCTGTGACATCCAGGCGGAAGGAGACCTTCCGGCCCCCGGCCTCGCAGCTGTACTCCCCAGCGTCCGCCTCGCCCGCCTGCTGCACCACCAGCTGCCGCCTGCAGCCCGCGGCCTCCACGCGCACCCTGGAGCTCGCGCCCAGCTTCTTCCCGTCCTTCAACCACGTCACCTCCGTCTTTGCCTGGGCCACCTCACAGCTCAGCGTGGCGCTGGCCCCCGCCTCGGCCTGCACCTCGCTGCGTGCCGGCTGCTCCTTGGCGAACACCGCCTTGGGCTCTGGGGACACATGAGGACACAGGGTCAAGCACACCACCTGGAGAAGGCCCTCACCCAGGCAGCTGCAGAACAGACTCTGTGGGCTCCACCCCAGCTGTAGCCCTGGAGAATTCCCCCTGCACTTAGCATGTGCAGTCCAACCTGCTCCATGGGGCTGGTCTGAGGACATGGAACAGGGTGTCCAGCACAGGGCCCTCAGGAAGGCCTGCGGGTGGTGACATATATACATCTGCCCACTGAGGAGGAGAAATCAGGGACTGTGCAGAGCATGACGCCTGCAGGGCTGGGTTCCCAAAGCTCCAGGGCTACCCCTGGGGGCGGTTCCTCGCGTGCTCTTCCATCAAATACTCTATCAAATAGTATCTTTACATTGATTTTCATATGTGGTACTTTCATCTACTAATTTATCTTTTGTATAAATCATTTCACCTGTGAATTCTACTTTTGTTTTTTCTAACTTTTACACCTTTTACTGCATTTTCTTCCTATACCCATGGGGTACAATATTTGTCCAAGTGGTGATAATTGGAAGCTCTATGTCATTCTTTTTTTTTTTTTTTTTTGGTTTTTCTCCGGTACTGGGAACCGAACTCACGACCTTGCGCTTGCCAGGCAGGCGCTTTGCCGCTGAGCTAAATCCCCAGCCCCTCTATGTCATTCTTGATCTCAAAGGTAGAGAGCTCAAGGTCTCACCTGGTCATTTTTGTGCAATGCTACTTAACAAAGAATTATTTATTTGTATTTTGTTAAGGATTTCATGGCATGATTGATGACACATTTTGTCCAACATTTCTTCTGAATAACCAGTGTTAAGTATTAATTTCGTAAGTTTTGTCCAGTCAGATACAGTCATGCTTTATATTGATTTTCTCCTGTTTCCAACATCACAAAGACGTGTATTCCTGGACTGTGGTTGTCACCACTGCAGATGACCCTGTTACAGATTGCTGAATGTGGCTTCCTAGTATTTTAACAAGTGGGTCTTGGTAACCATAACACACTAACCTGAAGTATGAATTCTTACTTTCTCATCATGTTTCAGTATTAATATGTATTATGTATTTTAGTATTAAAACATAAATAAAATTAGAGAGTATACTTCTTTATTCTGAAAAAATCTCCAGGAATATGGAATAATTTGTACAATGTTTAGGAATTTACCAATGGAGCCACTTGGCTTTGTGTTTCGTTTTGGTTTTTTGTTTGTTTATTTCTGCTTTGAGATAGGGTCTCACTATGTAGTTCAGGCTGGCCTTGAACTCACTATGCAGTGCAGGTTGGCCTTGAACTTGCAGTGATCCTCCTGCCTCAGCCTCCCAAGCACCAAACTCAGAAGTACCATGAGCCACTTACCCCTCTCCATTTCTAAATCTACACACCACAGATCCCAAGTGAATTCTGGTACCAAGCACCTGAATGGCCTGGATGTGGCTCCACGGAGAGCAGTGGGTTCCCATGAGCCAGCCCCTGGGTGCCATCCAGAGCACCGCCAAATGGACACAGAAAAAGAGTACTGTCACGGAACGCAAAAGGAACCCTATATCTGCTCTGGAAAATGAACTCCAGGGGCTGGGGATTTAGCTCAGCGGCAAA